TTTTTCAGGTGGAAAATTATACTAATCAAACATAATTAATTACAATGCCCAATAATACAATTTCTAGACAATTCAATTCCCTGAAAAATATTTTCTTTCCACCAATTTTCCACATTTGCAATCAAATGGATCCTAAACAAAAAAGTAGATCTCAGCTAAAAATAAGCCATAAGTTCCTCAATGTAAAATCGAGAACTTTTATGATAAGTTAACCTAGAAATTCTTTTGTGGTAGATTACCCAATTCATAACCGACGATTCACGACGTATGCTCTCAACCACAATTGAGCGAGTCAAAGGGGTCCACTGCTAGTAGGAGATGCACCATTCTTTAATTGAAATTGAAGAGAAGTCATGCCTCTATAAAAGATGGCTAAAAAGAAGGAACATAAATTCAAAGGCCTACCATATACCAATTCATGCGCTATGGGTAAGTAACTCATAGATGGCTTCATACTGGAAACGCAAAGAATATATTTACAGATCCAAATTTGAAGAAAAACCACACGCTCAGCATGGGAAGGTTCAGCGGTAGAATGATTATAAAGGCCTTGCATGCTTGAATAGGATTCAGTGAGTTTTTTGTCAAACTTAGGGGCTACACCGGCAATCAAAATACCAAGAAAGATGGTATCTCCTAAGGGCGGAAGATTTACTAGGGCTCCAATGTCCTTTAAGGTAATAGACATTGGACCAAGCGGGAAAACAAATGTATTATATTCAGAAGACCGAAAACTCAAAGCAATAGGAAAAAGCACTAGGTCGAAAATTGGGGGTTGAAGCGCGATTTCTAATAAATCTGAAATCCTAGCGTGATAAAAAATCGTCTTGGTAAGGTCATGATTTACCAGACGTCAATGCCACCTACAAAAAATAACATTAGTTTTGGGCTAAATGCGAATACCTTTCTCGCGAATCGGCCTCAGTGGCAAAGAGTTCAGAAACGGAGGGCCTTGAGTACAAGGGAATAGCTGACCCACTACCGTTTGTTCGATAGATTCAGCATCATTAAATGATGGACCTAGATAAAACCCATGGTTGTAAGGTCGGGCCTATGAAAGAGAGTTTGAATTTACATTAGGCCTGGTGAGGAGGTTTTGGAAATCCTCGAAACTAAGTGAGTTATCCGAAGGAGTTTGCGAAGTCACCATTTGATGCAAAGTACGGTCTCTGTGAGATTTGCTTAAGAAACGTAGCAAGGAAGTAAGAAGATTAACGGTAAATAGTGAGGAAGAAGCACGAAATTTAGAGACGTGAGTTAATGGCGTGATGAAGTAGCGTGTCTTTTAGGTTATAAGGGTGTAACGTTACACTTTCAGGTTGAAGCCAACGGAAATAATGATTGAAATTTTTGAAAATGTCAAATATTGTCGGAAAATACAAAGGAAGAATATGCAAAGATTAATAATTGATATTAATTCTGTCATATTGGAGGGTAATTATTGACATACAAAAAATAAGGCACAATTGAATGAGACCCAATGTTCAAATGAGGTCCAATTATTAAGTCAGACCCAATTATGTGGTCCAAGAAATGGATTCCAGTTAGGGAATTGAGGAATGAGCCCAAATAAGACCATTGTAAAATATAAGGATAGCCTACGAGCAGATGACTATTATCGCCCAAGCCTGCAGAACGCCCAGGATTTGAGTGAATGAAGTATCCGAATGTTGCTCAGAGGGACGGTCTCACTCTCGCCCAAGCCTTCGAGACGCTCAAGGTCTGGATGAATATAGCATTTTGTTTAGTTATTGAAGCGGTTATTGAGCAACCTTATCACGTCCCACGATCCAAGAATCTCGGTTACAAGCAGTTAAACAACAAGAGCACTAACAA